AGCAGGAATTCGCGCATGGAAAACGCATCTTACGGCGGCTAACTCGAGCCGTGAAAACATCATATAAATCTATCGTCTGCTTTAATCGCCGACTACATCTTAGCGCTTTACGCTCAAGTACTTATAAAGTATCGTAATACTGTATCTATATTGGAAGGATAGACGTGTGCAATTAATAAGATCCTTATTGCATCTCCTCTCATTATAATATATGTAAATTATTGGCGAACAAAGTTGACATTTATCGTATTTAATGAGGCTCGTCTTAACTAGCCAATCCATAATACATCTTATCAATTATCCATATTGTAATTGACCAATGTCCTATGACATATAAATCGTTCTCTGTCCGATGATATTCAGCATAGGACAGCATAGAGCGTGAAAAAAATTTTCAATAAAGCAATAATTGTTATAAGGAAAAAGGATGTAAATGACTTGGTTTAATTTATTTGCACAAGTTTAATTGCACTTTAACCCTTGCTATATCGTACGTATTGACGGTGATTGAACGACAGTCGTGTAATTGTCAATTTTGCATGGAAATGGAAAATACACGAGCTTATGGCGTAAAGCTTTAGTTAGTAAATTATAAATTCTCGGGGAACTTTAATATAATTAATTTAATAATTGTTGCGCAAGATTAAGCGTCAGCGTTCAAAAATCGATAAATTTCACAAACTTTTAACGTACTCGCCTACCAAGTCTCGTGAATTTCAAGGAATCGCCATTACGATATTATCTAGGATTAATTGAATAAGTCGTTTGATGCATATTTGCTAATCTGTGCGAAACGTGCGGTGACGTTGGTCTCGCTCCTTTAGATCGCGATGCCACGTTGCATACGAGAGAATAATATTTTTCTTATTAATGCGTGGGGGAGAGGAAACATCTGTTTTCACATATCGCATTCCAGGCTGTGCTTTTACTTTTATCATAAAGTCGCGTAAAATTTGCATTGGTTTTTCGTGACAAGAAAATTGTGGATCGTTGCCAAAAGAAAAAAGAAGAAAAAAAAGGAAAAAACAAAAGAATGAGAAAAAGAATGAAAGAATGAAAGAAAGAAAGAAAGAAAGAAAACACGAATTAAAGAGAAAAAATTTTTTAAGCCAGATTAATGTTGAGTCAGGTGAAATCGTTTCGTTTAAGTGACGTCTTATTATAATCACACTGTGAAAAAGACGAATCTGCAGGGCGAAAGTTGAGCGGGAAAAATGCAATTTAATATGATGGCCCACTCATTCCGCATTCCGTCAGACTTACCTGCATATGCCTGTACATCTTGTCGATCATTTTATTTTATTTTTTTTTTTTTTTTTTTTTTTTTACATCTTCGAAGAATGCAGACTCAGAAAAAAGGATTTCTCGTTAAATTGCACTTATTGAACGCTACAAAAATTGGGCAGATTGAATAATCGAGTTCAAGCATTATTTTGAACGTGAAAGTTAAGGTACATAATGTCGCTCGATAAGTATGTTTTCAAACAATTAATTTATACTCTGTATCTTGTTATATATATTAAAATTTTTAACAAAATAATGCAAAAAAAAAAAAGTTGAAATACTTTTACTCAAGGTTCAAACTTTCTGTTGTAATTATTATATACATACATATATTTTAGTATAAACTCTAATAATTTAGAATGAGAGATAAACACAAGAGGTTCAGTGGTATTTCAATATCACAAGATTCTTCAACATATTTATACTATTACACCGTCGTACAAACATATTTTTAACTTAAATAAAAAATATTGATATCTCCTAGTTTGAATATTATGAAATTTTAAATATCGAGTAAAAATATTCGTTACACAGTAGCTCGTTAATTACTCAAATAGCACGATGATGCGGTTCGATTGACCGTTAATAAATCAATGTAACGTTAAGTGAGTTGTGATTCGTTACAACTTATTACATAGCACGGCCTAATACTTTTTACTTTTTTTAAACGTAATATTTGAAATTCAGACAGTGATATAAAAATTCAGTTTACAAATAAGCGTCAAGTTTCATTTATTTATCGAGCATAGCGTTGCTTTCAATTATTCTCACTACTCGATATTATCGTAAGTCAATTTATTTTTGTTTTTTGTTTTTTACGTTTGTTTAATGAGATAATGCTTTCATTTTAAACTGGTATGAATAATAATATGCATGAGATCTTCCTAAAATAGGTTAGAGTTTTTCAAGTTTCAAATATTTAATGAATTATCGGACACTCTTGCAACTTAAATGGAATTTTAAAATTGTTAACATTTTTATACTTATTTGGCTGCTAATTCTTAATACTTTGCAACTTAGCGTATAGCTTTCTCTTTCAATAAATTTATAACTTTTTAAGTCACTTGGACGAAGAGTAATTAATTTAAGAAGAATTTCCTATAAGAAATCACCTCTCATTCCTTAAAATTACATTTAAATGATTGATTTTTTTCATGCATAATTTCTAAAATAAATATCGCTTGAAAATTACGCTGAATCGAAGTCGAGAGTTTTCCTAATATTTGTCTAGAAAGAGCAATAAATTTTTTCATAGTAAAAAATATAAGTTCTCTCTCTCTCTCTCTCTCTCTCTCTTCATGGATGTTAATCTGTATTAAATTGAGTGTTGGAGCTCGGAGGATCGAGCATAGGCGACGAAATTAACGAAAGGTTAACGTACCGCAATGAAATTATTCTCTGCCGCTAGTTGACGTTCGGTTTGCAAATTCAGATGGAGAAACTCCGCTCGCAAAAAGTATCAACTATGAATCGACATTCGTCATCGGCCATCTCGTTCGCGTCGATTTACGAAAAGTGAGCGATGAGTTTTATATTGAAAGGCGGAGGTCGTAAGGCTGGGGAGGAGAAGCGACGTAGAGGGCGAATGAAGAATACCCGCGCGAGCTAATTATTCCGAGAACACGCACTCCAAGATCCCGGTTGATCCTCCTTTACCCACACGCACATCTCATTTATCTCTTTTCTAATGCGCTTTAGGGGAGAATGTTGTTATTCTTCTAGTTGCTCGAGCGCGGCCACATATTTATTACGCATTCAGATGTCACGCAGCTAATCGCAAGCAGATCGAGAGCCAATTTTTTAGTCCAGGACAAATAGAAAGTGGAACTCTTTTTCAACGGAGATACAGATTTGAATAAGGTTGGACTTTATGGGAAACGCTTTCACTAGGCCCACTTAATTTTATTATATTCCGGTAAGTTAATTGCAGCTCTTTACGATGGATTCGGCTCGTCTAAGAGAACCTGTAGCCGCCTATAGTTTAAAACACTTCTCCGCAAAGTCTTTCAAAATAACTCGTTTTACAAACAGTTCGTTACTTTACAGAGAGATTATAGTTCTTATATCCTTAATATTGCTGTTAGGTATGTATACTACGAGGTGTCGGATCGACTGAATAATTAAAGCTTCGACATTATGATTTTCACACGATACATCAGATTTTGGCATTGACTCGGCATCAAAGCGTATTGCCCGGTGCGTTAAAGGAGAAACAACTTTTCACAGGATTATTAGTTAGGTTTTAAAGTTAAATGTCTTGAATGCTGCTATAATTGCGTATCTTCAATTATGAAGCTTACAAGTAATA